AGCAATATATTATACTATAATTACATTTCCTTTGATGTACAACTTTTTGTTTTCCCTAGAGTTGACTATTGCCTTGATTTTAGTTTCTTTTCTTAGTTTTCTATGCACTTATTACAACTTTGTCCCCCAAGCACATATATTAATCTCCTCTCAATATATTCAAACATATCAAGGAATCTGTTCATTTTCCCCATGGGAACATCTTTTCTGGAGCCGTCTGTGCCTTTTTCCAGTCTGGGAAGATTTGCTTTTAGCCCGCTGTATAACTGCTGTACAATTTATTTAATTTTCCAGAAATTCTCTTCTCCTCTGTCTAGTATTTGATTCCTTGATTCTAACTATCATAACTTTTGTTAGGCAGGAATCGAATCTGCAGGTGGCAGATACTGGCCAGGAGGGCAGTTCCTAGGCGTAGAGGAGCTGGGACCAATCAGGGGAAATAACTTCAGGAAAACACAGAACACCTGAAAATCATGTATATCAGTCATCTGGTAACATCCCACAGCCGTAAGCCCTCTCCAGGACCAGGCCGATAAAAGGAAACCAGCTGGAAGTCCTGAACGTCTTTTTCCACTTGTGGAAACTGACCCATTCCTCTCTCTGGAACGTATTCTCGCTTTATATAGCTTCCTTCTTTCTGCAATGAAAACTGTTTGTATGGAATTGCTTCCTGTCTGTGATCACTCTGTCGCACCAACCAGCCTGCTTGCAATTCTTGCAAACAAGTAGCCAAAGAACCAGGACAACAGTCTACCAAGAGGCCGGACCAGACACTCTTTTTTTTCTTATTCTCCTCAGTCCTTTTTATCCCCAGATAATTCTTTAAGAGTTTCAAGGGTGACTGGAGGCTAAACTTTTTGAGACTCTGTATGTTTAAAAATATCTTATTCTATGCTAACCCTTGTTAGGCAGTTTGACTGAATATAGGACTCTATGCTGAAAATGATTTTGTATCACAAAATTAAAGGTACTTTTCCATTGTCTTTTAGCTATGAGAATTCTGTTAAGAAATTGAATGCCATTCAAATTTCTCATCTTTCGCATGCGACCTTTACATTGTGCTTCATTTTGTTTTGTTTTCCCTACTTGGAAGTTCTTAGGATCTTCTTATCTCTGGTATTCTGCAATTTGAAAATACTGAGTGATGGGGTGGGTCTTCTTCACCCATTTTTGTGGGTACTCTCTGA